ACTTTTGAATATGTGCGAAACTTTGCAAAGACGTACATGTGTGTGACTCCTTTTGGTTGTGTGGTCTTGGGGTCTTGCATCCTGCCCTGTTGTAGTTGTAGATTTTAAAACCTGTCTCTTTCTCGTTCGTTTCTTCTTCTTGTTTTGGGAAGAAAATTGCACAGATTTTCCTTTCAACACTTTGTCCATTTCAATAAATAAGGAAATGAAACGAAAGTGCCAAAATTCGTCCAGACAGCCAAGCGTTCCACTGAAAATGAGATCTGTTCACAGACATCACCCTCTCGCCAAAAATCCGGAAATCAAGAAAATTTCTTAAAAAGACATGGGAAATGACGTTTGTGGTTGGTTGTGTGCTTACAAGGAAAGGGTACATCAGTTGCAGTCACGATTTTTACTATTTGAAGTGGGAACTACCGTTGTTGACTACCACAGTTAAACTATTTGGACATTTGCCAATCTTATCTATGCTCCTCTACATTACTATTTTCGGATAGTTAAACATACATTTGAAATTGGGGGATTGTGATTTTTCCTCAGCATGCAAATGTAGTAGTTACCCGATGTCGTCAATAACAATTTAAAGCATAGTAAGAAAAAATAACATCTTTGTAAAGGCAATGATATAATTAATTATATGAAATTAATTAATCTATTAAGTTTTATCGGTTGGTTAAAATCGATACCAAATCGGTTTCATTACCTGAAAATCCTGTTCAAATATTTATGAATCGTGATCTGTATCCGTGTTCTTAACATGCTTGGCATAATGAGATCTAATTGTGGTAAATATTTCAGGCAAAGGACGAATATGAATTTGTAGAATATATAGAGGATATATAGAGAATATATAGAGGAAGAGGCTTACCGTTCAAGAAAATAAGTATAAAAAATATTCCTCAGTCGTTTAGACTGCAGGCCTGTTATCGCAAAAACAACCTGCAATGGCCTCAAAGGAAAATAAAAAGCTTTTTATTCGTGAATTTTGCAGTTAACATTACGTCATAACTCAAAAAAATGTAACAAAGGGTATTTTATCCCCATTAAGGAATTTTCTCAATTATCAATGTATAGACTATGATCGTTATCCAACTATATTGTGAGGATATTATAAATTTATGCGACTATGACGAAACTGTTGAATGGTCGAGTTATGTTTGGGCATTTCTTCCATCAGCATGCATTCGATACACCTGAGTAGTACACCACCACCTCGAACAAGAGAAGACAAATTATTGTGTAATTTGGTTCAATCCAGCGTATTTCCCTATCCACAACAGAAAATTCATGGGTTATCCGCCGAACAGCCCGTACCTAGCACACAATGAGTCCTTGAAAAATATAATGTAAAAAATATCACGTCTTGAATAGTTCTTGAAAATATTAATAAATAATCTTAAAAACCTGCATCGAAGAATAATATATATATATATATATATATATATACAGTATTTTTCGGTTAATTGCACATCAAAATTTGAAAAATAATATATATATATAAAAAATATGCATCAAATAATATGCATTTAAAAATAAATACCACGCCTTAGAAAACCATGCCTAACAGGGTCCTGGAAAAAAAATCTTAAAAAAAACACGCCTTGAAAAAAATCTTTAGAAGGCCACGTCAAAAAATTTTTATATCCTCTAAAATCTTAATGTGGACTTATTTTCATATTTGCTTAAAATTCAATTGAGTGGTACCCAATATCCCCCACATAAAAATGTAGGGTAACAAGACACCATATTTCAATTAAATACATATTTTACGAATTGCATTCCCAGAATACTGATTACGTTTTTCTCTGCACAAAAAAGATCGACAGCGATAAACCAAAATATGATACTTTAAACAAAATCATATTATAATAATAACAAAAATAGTTGATACTAATAAATCTTCTTAATGTTTATTTGAAGATTTCCCTCCTCGTGCCGTAAATTGTGTGTAATAAAAAGTTATGCGATATTATTTTCAGAAAAAAAAAAGAAATAAATAAAGAAATATAATTCTCAAATAGTTCTCAGCTTATTCTTTGTTTGGGTGCGTGCCGCTGCTTGCAATGCGAACGCAGGCAGCGGCAATCCATTTAAGTTCCTCCACCTCCTCCTCGACAGTTATTCCTGTTGCTCGTGCATTGGCCAAGGCTCTTTGTTGGTTGCCGGATTTTTTCGCCTATGATGCCCCTGTCACGCAATAAAGCAACAACTCAGTACAAAAACGGCGAAGCAGCACCAGAAGAAGAAGAGAAAATCTGAACAATAAAACCCAAACAACATTCGGCGTTGAGTACGTCTGTCCACGTCTATTCATATCAGATGAACAACAAAAATGTTTGCTCGCGTCTGGACGTTTAAGTACGTGACTGGAAAATGCATTTCCGTTGTTATGGCTGCAATGGTTGTAAGGCGTAACGAACGCCACCAGCAACAGCTACAACAGTGCCAGCATCAATTCTCTTAACACAAGCTCGGGCAACGATGTAGCAATGGTGACTACCGACTACAATGCAATTGAGGAAGTGCCGACTTCCGTTGTACTTAATGCTTCCACTTGTTTCTTGCTTGGATTGTTGCATTTCTCGCATTTTCCCTGTAAACGAGAAAAAATAGGAAAAAACTAAAACGGCAACAGAAAAATCACATCATATCAGAAGTGACAGTTTGGGCCAGTCAGCCAGCAACTGGAGAATGAGATGGACATTGGTAGCTGGAAATTACATACCATCCAAGCATAACTTAGAATACTGAAACAAAATGAAGATTCAACTGATGCCGGAGCGTCATCATCATCGTCGTCATACTCGTGACAATCATCATCGCCATCGTCGTCGTTCATATAAAGCCACGCATCTTTCCCCCAACTGAATAACTTTCAAATACGAACTGCTGCTACTGCTGTGCAATTTTGATTAGGAATGCTTTGAATCAGTTTGGCCCACTTCGAAGAGTAGAGATGCGCCGGTCAATGCACAAAGTGCTAAACCAAGTGTTTTCTCTTGCCTTCAGCTTGGTATGTTCTGTTTTGAATGGCAGATGGTAAAATCGAAGATGGACAGATTTTGTGCGTGCATGTGCGTGTGTATGTGTGTTCCGACTAATTTGCTCCATTCGATTGTAACTAATTAGAATATTCAGTATTTGCCAAGTGTTTTATGGGTTATGCCTAGTGGCAATGATCATTAAATTGTTGACGGTTTGTGATTTTTTGAGAAGTTTTTATAGCAATGTTTGCATTAATTATTGGTATATGGAATTTACATTTTTGGAAATAGGAAATATAAACCATGTATATTTAAAGCAGTGCTGCCGATTGTGAGTGAAAAAAGTCAATCGCTAGTACAAGAATATCCTCTGAAAATAGATTATTGCACATATTTAGCTTCACCTATATGTTTTATACGATGAAATTAAAAGTGGTGTTTGATTAACGAAAAGGTAGATCGCTCAAAATGTAGGTATTTTGATTACAGACAGGACAAACTTAAAGATGGACTATCTTGGATAAAACTTAGGTGTAGCACCAACATAACTGTACCTCCCGATTTTAGTAATTCTGAGTATGCGGACACAGTTCTCGCTATTTGCCGGAGTTTGGGTACGTTTTTCATCCAAAATGGGGATAATATTATATTTCGGATTATCATTAGGAAAAAATTCTTTAACAGAAATGTTATTTTTTGCACTATTTTTACCCATTCTTCGAACTTGAATCAAGTTTAGAAGCAATATAATGATGTCCAATGTCTATTTATTTTTTTTTCGATATGTTAAAGTTCCTACTTAAGTTTTTCAAACTGAGTTTTCATGTCGGAGCATGAAATGCCTACAACTACTACATAATGCAATAACATAGTACCCATATAATAGTCCATATCTATAGAAGCTAATTTGAATCCTCTTCTTCGAACTTGAACCAAGTTTGGAAGCAATATAACGATGTGCAAAGTTTGTGCAAATGTCCATTTTATTTTTTTTCCTTTTTCGATAGGTTGAAGATCCTACTTAAGTTTTCCAAACTGAGTTTTCATGTCGGAGCATGAAAACGCTACTACTACTAAATGATGCAATAACATAGCACCCATATAATAGTCCAGAACTATAGAAGCTAATTTAAATGTACATCACGTGGTGAATAATATAAAAAGTTCTATTCAGCCGAACTTAACGACATTTTACTGATTTATATTAAAATAATTCGTCATAGATTGAAGAGTATATTACTATTTTTTATTCAGGGTTCAAAATGTCGAAATGGGCTTTATCGGTCCACGGGGGATTATGCCACCTATATAAAGGAATTCAGAAACGGTTCCCACATGTCTCGAAATATTCAATATTACGATTATCATGGCTTTGAATATTTAGGAAAATTTGCTGAAATTTTGCTGAAATTAAATACATCTGGTCCTTTTGGAAATAATTGTCAGTATATGTCTACTTTTTTCATATTCTCCATTAAGCCTAATATCGGAAGTCGAAACAGTTCCCTGTGGGGTCGGAAACTTATTTGAAAATTATCTTTGAAAAACATTGGTCATCGTCTTTGTTATAAATATCCCGCCCATTTTTATTAAATCGGAAGTTTTAATCACACTTTCTAAAACCGTTCGCTATAATATAGTTCTATACAGGGTTGGAAATTTAATTTCAAGTAACAATGGTAATGTAATGTTCGACCCGGACGAATTTAGATATAACACATGTAAAAAGGTGTTAAGGTCTTTTACATTTGTTATATCTAAATTAATCAAATAAAGGCCTCACTTTAAAGTGCATTGATTTAAATAACTGTAGTCTATAAATATGTTTCGAATGAGATTAGTATATCCCTCATATCCTATACCATACAAAGCATGTGAAAATGTCTGCTTACAGGTACGAATAAATAGACGAATTATCAATTCACTTAATTTAATGAAAAAACAAACAAACGAACAAAATATATTTACATAAATTTACTACTATGTCAAAAAAAAAAACAAAATAGGTAGATTTTATTACAAGAATTCAATTTCACGATAAAATCTAAAATGTTGAGTTGGTGCTTCACGTCGGCAAGGATTCATTGTCAATTGTAAATCGACAGTAATTTCCACACATAGACGTGTCAAGAGATTTCGTAACTGTAAACCGGAACGTAGCCATTTTTGTTGCCGCAGATCAGAACATTCGGCGACAACAAGTATTAATTTAACTTTTTCCAATCGTTTTAGACTCAAACAATGCCCCTTGTCGGATTGTAGTTGATGTGATGATTTGACCAGAAACCATTTAGTTATGTTGACCATAGAACAGGGAGACATCATGACAATTGCATCCCCAGTTTCATTTAGATCCTGATGTAGGCAATAATCACTTGATGTGGATATTGTACCATAGGCTGTGAAATTATTGCCTATTCTGAAATATTTAAAATACTTGCATTATCTTTTTTAAAAAATATATATCTTAATACCTTAACTCTGGAAACACATTATTAAGATACCAATCAAACGAATTGCATTGCAGGGATTCTTTGAAATTATTAATTTCGGAACGTGAAATATTTACGGGAATATTTCGAGCTTCGGGTTTGACATTATAAAAATTGTATTTGTAATGATCTAGCCATGTTTCGGCAATTATTTTGGAATTTCTGAAAATAATAAAATGTACGTTTTAATAATAGTGCTTCGTAATATTAATTTGAGTTTTGCAGGTAAGGGTGATGATAATTTGAATGATTTTTCTTTCGAGTCGAGCTTAATGAGTGACTTGTCAAATTTCGTGCGCGCTCACCTCAAATAAATCCCCTGACCATCATTGTCGGGAAATTTAAAAATATGTTCCTTGCGAAAAATATGACCCACTCTACTGCAAGGCACAATCCTAATTTCGCTACCACATAGCCACAGTTTCAAAGAAAACTCCAAGGACTCTCCACCCCAAACCTAAAGTAGCCATTAAAACCAAACCGTACCACAATCGAAAAAAGGAAACAAAGTAGATAAAACAACAAAAGAAAATTATGAAACTTAAACAAACACTGCAAATCAAACGAATTGTGAAAAAAAACACATCAGATAAATATTTAATAAGAAACACACAGACGCACACACATTTACATTCACAGCGGTAGATACACTCAGCTCATTCATTCTCAATTCTTTGCTGTTGTTTTTTAACCAAAAGGCTCTTGATGTGGCTTGTTGAAATTAAGTTTGGTTACTATTTCTTTGCTATTTCATTTGATTTCATTCCACAAGTCCCTCGGTCTGTTCGTTTATAAAACCCCCCAAAACCATAACCCCAGAAAGCAGCAAACTGAAGTTAAAGTGCAATGTAAACACAAATTCCATCAAACTCGACCAATTCAATACTCAAAAAGTCCTTTCATTTATCGGCCTAAAATACATACAGGCCTATACCATTTTACGACACACTGACACACCGTCGAACACTAAAAAAATTAAAAAAAAACGAAAAGATATTCCGTTTTACCTGTTTCGAAAACACCATTCCATGGTCGTGGACGTGAATTCGCATAATGTTTTTTCTATTCCTTTTTTGGCTAACCAAACTCAAACGGCAACAAAAAAGTTGCCTGAACAAAAAACACCAAACTGACTTCGGAAAAATATGCCAAACTAAAAAAAACAAAGCAAACAAACGAACTACTACTACTACTATTGGAAAGCTTTAGAAAAAATGCTAAAAGTAAAAAAGTATCAAAATATGTACATATTTTGTTGCCCGGCTGACTACCTACCTACCTGCCTATAACTATTGCGAAATTTTCAAATGAAAATGAATTAATACAGTGTGTTTTTGGGGAAATGGATTTGAAATTTATGAAAAGTCTAGTTCGCTTCATGAAAATAAACAATATTTTCAAGATAGTTGGAATTTATTTTTTTAAGACCTGCGAAGAGGTATGATATTGATCTAAGGGCATTTAAGGTGTCACTATGGATGAAAGTCCCTTGCATCTTTTCCATAAATAATTGGAGGCCATATTATTTATGGAAAAGATAAGCTTCAAATATTTTCTATAAAATGACTTCTATCGATAAAATGCAATTGGTGTCATCTCTGATTCTTCAATGAGTCTTCTTTAGCCAAGGAAATTATGCCCTTTTAAATAAATAGAAGAATATTGTTCTTTCAAATATGGATAAAAGTCCCTCCAAATATTTAACATTATTCCTGGAAATATATCACCTTTTTCAATGTCTTCTATTCGGTTCAAAGACTTTAATTCAAATAGTAGAAAAAAATGTTCTATTTATACAATACCCTTCAAGAGATCTACAAAGGACGGAATTATGGTATATAGTATATTTACGGAATTACACACATATTTTATTATATTTATTGGGTGGTTCCATAGAGAGTGGTGCGATGGTTCCCATCTCTGCAACGTTTAGAACAAATCGTATATTTAATTCGCTTGATATTGGATTAACAAATTAAAAAAAAAATGATGATACTGTGGGGATGGTAACAAAAGGAGTTGACTGATGTGTCCCATCTTCGGGCGTAATAAAATTATTACGTTGTGCAAAAGTTCGACCGTCCAAAAGGGTCACGCCGTTAGGGTGTAAGTATTGATAGAGTATATCTGATACCTCCAAAACAACTTACATGAAATGAAGACCCTTTCATAGATCTCATTAATATCATAGATAGAAATTAAACCCCTTCAGAAGTTTATTTAAGGGGACCCCTCCATTCTCGGTGTCAAACATTTTTTTGATTTAATTCGAATCTACTCTAATTCTAGAATGTTCCTACAAAATTTCAGGTGAAAATCTCAAGAACTCTTGAAGATATAGCCGATTTATTGTGCAGCATCAAACTTTAAACGCGTTTTTCTCAAAACGAATGGCGGGGACGATAACTCAAAAACTAATAATCCCATCGGTTTCAAATTTTGACACGTTTCTCTGGGAGTGTGTAGCTCTCGTATGAACTAGGATAAAGCCATTCGGTGAAGATCTTCCTTATTTTTTAACTTGGTTTTTGGTAAAAAATCGGCGATTTTCCAAAAAGATTTTTTCAAAGGTCCACCATTTTGTTAATTTTAGAGCAAAGTCAATAATCCTAGTTCATACGAGAGCCAGACATGTACTCTTTCTAACACCGTTGGAATTTTCGAATTCCGATGTTCCAGTGAGGAGTTATCATGCCCGCCATCAAAAATATTCTTTAATTACAAAAACAACAACAAAACAATAACCAAAATTTTTTGTAAATTATTTTTCTTCTCTTTGAAATCTTCAAATATATATGTGCAAAGTTACAAACCTTAACAAGCATTGGTATTCATTTACCAGCCCATTTAAAATCTTAAAAAAAAAATCGAGAATGGGGGGGGGGGGGGGGTTCCCTTAAGAGATCTTACATAGATATAACTCAGTTTCAGATGACTTCTGCGGATAGAAAACCTTTCAAGAAGTTTTATATTAATAAAATGCCATTGGAAGAGACATAACTGCCAAAAGGCTGGAATTTGGAACTGATATAATTGGGGGACTAGTATTATTTCAGGAAAGTCACTCGAGAGTCCTATAATATTTATACCCTACACAACTATGTTGTCAGGGCATTATAGCTTTGTGCAGCCCCAAGAGTTTGTAACGCCGCTAAATATTGGTCCTCGACCCACCTTTTAGTATACCGAACGTCATATCTCGACTAGCTGAGTCGATCCAGACATGTGTGTCCGTCCGTCTGTCCATTATAATTTGTAAACACGATACAGGCCACAGTTATGGACCAATCTTCACGAAATTTTGCGTGTAGAATGGGTTCGAACCAATGAAGACCCCTATTGTTTTTGGTAAATATCGGTTAATATTTAGGGGATGAGATGGACCAAATACTTAGTTTTTGTCGTTTTTTCAGGTCGCTCCAGAGGCCGCAATTATGGTCCAAACATCTCGAATTTTTACATGGAGAAGGGGATCGGGCCAAAGAATAAGCATGCCTTTTTTCATTAAGATCGGTCAATATTTAGCGGGTCAAATGCACTCTGACTTTTGTGTGAAAAATGACAAAATTTGTATTTTATAGCGTATATATTGACTCCTGCAGAACATAGATCCAAAAAGTTGATAGTATATCCAAGAGGAGTGGTTGACCTTTAAATTGATACCAATTATATTGTCGTATGTACTCGGATGTGGGAGTTACACGTAATTATTTACAGGTGCTTACGTATTCAGATATTATTTTATAAAACATTACCACACTATAGGGCGGAAATATAGCGCTGATCGCTTTGAAATGTTCCACGAGGTTCCAGTTATGGTCAAGGACAACGTCTATAATTTTCGGTGATGATCAGATAATAATTTTGGGATGAAGTGGACCGAATACTTCTTTGTGTTTTTTTCGATCTATAGGCTGAACACCACAACAAAACCCACGGTGAAGGGAATATGGACAAGTAATTAGAATAACTGTACTGAATATTGGTAATATTCGGAAAATATGTCAGTGTAAGGAAGAGGTGCTGTTGACCTCTAATCGGGCAAGTGGTTGCAACTATCATGAAATTTTACCTAGGCTCGGAATAAAATCCACAGAAAGATAGAGTTCTGTGGTAGTTGTGTAGGGTATCGTATGGCCGGCCCCTTCCGACTATACTGCTCCGCTCACTGGTTTTACTCTAAAGTATATTGTCACCTGGTAGAATTTAAAATCTTCAGGAATCTTTTCAGCTATAAATTCCACAATATTCCAATATAATTAATTTGCATTTAAAGGTCAACAACGCCTTCATTGTAAAGGAGTTGTTCGGAATAAATATTTAAATGGATTATTGATAATAATTTATTGTCGAATTAATTTTATTCATTTTATATTTACCCATAATCTACTGTACTTACATGAAGAGCACCATTCCTCCACCCGCTCTTATGTGAATAAACAGGATGAGAAAAAACAAAATTTCACCCACCGTCAACAACATTCCAAACTTATCATTCACCACCCCAATCACAATCACACGCACACACTTACTAACTTACAAACACACACACACACCAAATAAAGTACGGTTTGTTTACAAAACATTTACCAACCTCCAGACGAGTGTTAAAAGCTTTCAATTTAAAAAACCAATTTCGTGAAATCAGAAATACGCCGCCAGCAAAGGTAGGAGATCTGAAATAACAGACCAGCAACGAAAATCGAGATGATGAGTGAATTCCAGATGACCAACAAAACCAAAAAAAAAGAGAATGAAAAAACACATAGAAGGATGTAACAAAAACACATAGACATACTCGAACACACACAAAGAGATACTCAAAACGGTCATCATAGCCGAACATTCAAATATTTGAATTATGAACGTGGCTACAAATATCTGCATATTTCTAAAATACAGCCGCTTTTGAGAATCTAAAAAAACAAACAAATTCAAATCCTTGGCATGCTGGGACGCATGGGACGGAACTGAACTAAAACTAAAACTCGAACTCAACCACTCACCTAAAAGTTGTAAAAGGATTTAAAATGTTATCTCTCGCAATCCAATGGAAATGCAAATTCCAATCAAAACCACCTTTTATGGATGCCTCGGTAGTTTTGTATTCGCCCGTCTCCGCATCAATATTATCCAGCATTGGACTAACGGCCATTTTACCACCGGCCGAAGACAACATAACGTGCAACAGTGATTCCAGCCATTGTTGATTCACTTCACTGTGACTGTCCATAAACATCAAATAGTTGCCACGCGCCATTACGGCGCCCATGTTGCGAGATTTGATTAGGCCCCAGCGTTGCCGATGACGTTGTAGTCGAAGTAAAGTGTGATTGTTGAATGGTGGGCAGGTGAATTCCGTAAGCGATTTGAATGTCGAATCTGTAAATTGCAAAAGTTTGAATGGGCAAAAATATTAAGGAATTAGTAGTTAGATGAACTTTTTTTTGGTTTTTTGCGAGAAGTTATAAATTTGGTACGGATTTACAAAAATAACAAAACCCTTATTGCAGTGATGTCAATCAAATTTGTAATAATCCTAATAACTAATAACAAAAAAAACAATCTGCACCTTTTTAATTAGTTCCAAAAGCAAGAGCTTACCATCATCGCTGTAGTCATCAATTATAATAATCTCCTGAAGATATTGAGATGGTGTTCTTCTATAAATCGAATAAATTGTCGTTAAAAGCGTCGACAGAGATTCATTGTGATATGTAATTATTATGGAAACTTTTATATCTTCGTCATAGTTCGCTAGACTGCTGAATGTTCGTGGGCATCTGAAAAAAACAACGAAACGAATTTAATTTAATTTAAGTAGAATTAAAAATATTGGAACTACAAAATCGGAGATGCCAGAAATTATATAAATCCCATGCTAAAAATAACCATTGGTGAAAAATAGTATTTTCCATTTTAGCAAGCAATGTAGTAGAGAAACTTCGGTAATGTGAACTACCATTTCTGATATTTTCGGCGTAAGAACGGTAAAAATGAAACCAAACATTATAAATATGTATATATATAATAAAAAATATATAAAAATGTTATTGCATTGCATTAAACCAGTGAGCGGAGCAGTATAGTCGGACGGAACTACCACGGAACTCGGATATTTATTCCGATTCCCTTCACGGAGGGTTGTGTTGTGATGTTGGCCTATATTCGACTAGAAAACACACAAAAAATTAAGTTTTCGGTTCACTTCATCCAAAAATTTTAATCTGATCATCATCGAAAATTATAGGCGTTGTCTTTGACCATGATTGGAACTTGTAAAGGGATCAGCGCTATATTTCCGCCCTCTAATGTGGTAGTGGTTTACTGAATAATATCTGAATACGTAAGCACCTGTAAATATTTGATTGTAACTCCCACATCCGAGTACATACGACAATGTAATTGGAGTCATTTTGAATGTCAACCATTCTCCTTGGATACACTATCAACTTCGCGGGTCTATATGCTTTACGAGTAAATATATACGCCATAGAATACAAATTTTGTAATTTTTCACACAAAAGTTAGGCTCCATTTGACCCGCTAAATATTGACCGATCTTTATCAAAACAGGCATGCTTATTCTTTGGCCCGATCCCCTTCTCCATGTAAAAATACGCGGTGTTTGGGCCATAATTGCGGCCTCTAGAAATAAACCGACAAAAATTAAATATTTGGTCCATATCCCCTATATATTAACCGATCTTTACCAAAAACAATAGGGATCCTCCTTGGCCAAAACCCTTCCTACATGCAAAATTTCGTGAAGATTGGTCCATAACTGTGGTCTGTATCGTGTTTACAAATTATAATGGACAGATCGACTCAGCTAGTCGAGATAAGACGATCGGTATACTTAATGGTGGGTGTAGGACCAATATTTCGCGGCGTTACAAACTCTTGGGGCTGCACAAAGCTATAATACCCTGACAACATAGTTGTGTAGGGTATAAAAATAAAAAAATCTCATAACGGCGAAATAACTTGATATACCCATCAATTTATTTCGCCGTGAAATTAAGATAATGAACAGTTTATGGATTGCCTGTGATACATTTGTGTTTATTTCAATCTCGGGTAACAAAAAATGCAAAAATGTATGTGTCCATGCTCCCAATAGCCCCCAAATAAGGGCAAGGACCCATTTGCGGTATTTTGTAGGTTCTAGCTTCTGCTTATCGAGTTTTCAGAGGTTATAATACCACCTCGTAGAAATGTTTTCAATATGGGCCCATGTTATGTTTGAAAAGAAAATGTTCAAATCACATATTAATTGAAATCAGACTCAGTGATAAAATATTATGCTCTTGGATGAATTAAAGTTAAATATTAAAGACTCAGACACGAAAAAGAACTACCATGATAAAGTTCAAGCCTCAGTATTGCAAGGGAACTGGGAAGCATGGAGGTGGTTCAATAATGGTATCGGGTTGTTTTTCATGTTATGGTTTCCGTCGCTGAATAAAATATTCCGTTTATTAGAATTTTTCAGCATGATAATGACCTCAAACATACATCGAAACATGTCAATGATTGGCTCCGGTTGTCAAAAATCATGTCTTTGAAAAAAAAAAATACAAAAACATTTTGAATTTTTGGCTCAAAATGTATGACTATATATTCGGTATATACATTATATATACAGATTTTTCTTGTTCAGTGACTTATGCTAAAAATTGATGGAGAATATTTTTGTCCCGTATACCATCCTTCTAAAGCGACATCTTGTGGGAAAAATGGCTAAAAACTAGTAATAAGTACTATTTTAAGCCTAATATGAGTTTTTGTTTTTTAAAATTTCTGAGACCTATAGTAAAACTTTATGGCTAACATTTCTGTAGAATATTCTGAGCAGCTTTAACCCCGTTTTGAATGAGTTTTCAATCACTCCTGGAAAAGGGGACCGAAAAGACCCCTTTAGGGTTAAAGTTGCATACCAAAATATCTGAGATCAGTTTACACCTAAATAATTATTTTCCATTCTAGTTCTGTTTTCTTACCATCCCTGATAGGGCAGAATATGTGTATGGAAGCACATAATTGTTACTTATTATATTACATTATCTTCCTGTGTGAATTTGCATTACAAATTTCTTCCAGATTTTTTTATTTAAAATATTTGGTACGGGGACTAATCAATATGTATAGTTATATTGAAAAGTTATCACGACAATTCTTTCTCTGAACTATTTATTATGGGGCATTCCAAATGTTAGGTTTTAAATGGACTTTCTAAGAACTTATTCCAATCACTGTATTGATTATTTGTTGTCATTCTCTTGTTATCACAATTAACTAGGAAATTTGTTTATGCCACTTGCTTATTTTAAATCATTTTTATATTGTATATTTTATCTTTATTGTACTTCAAACGATTTAATTTCACACCACTTGACAAAATATTTACTTTCATACAGATAAACCACAAACAATTAATTATTAAACGTTCAAAAACGGTCGTTTCGTCACCACTTAGATTTTAGTCATGCATACCTGCGATCACGGCTGTCGGGTATATGACGTAATATTCGAGTTCGATCAGCGCTGCTTATCTTTCCGAAATCTGATTCACAGTAATGCCAGTTTTCCTCTTGGTCAATCTAAATTTTGGTACATTTTAGAGAAATTTCACTCACTTTGCATTCATCAGAATTTTCGTTTTTTTATATTTACTTGAAACAATAGAAATGTACAAATACAAAAAAACGTAAGTAAAATGATAGCGAACACAATCTTCAGATACGTTGGAAAACATTTCATTTCAACACCACCACCACGCTACACACAACTTCGTCGCCAAGTAAATCAAAACTATTTTCAAAACACCTGACAACATAATTAGGAACCTCCACCCGAAAATAGAAAAGAACCCTAAATTGAAAATCAAACAAAGTGGCGCTGTTGCTGCCGTTGTCTTCAAAAAATACGAGTATCAAAAAGTTTGTCCAAAAAAATATTCCTATATCTGTATACAATAAATATATGACTGGGTCCACAGCACCGAAAAGCAAATTCATAAATCAACAACAATAACAATATCAGCAGCAATATGGGGGAAATGTTATTGTTTATTAACTTATCATGATTAGGCTGGCAGCAGAGACAGTGACAGCGACAACCAGTCAGCCAGCCAAGACAAAAGACGAAACAAGAGCGGTCACACCAAACAGACTGCTTGACATTGATTACACAGCTACTTATACTGGAGCACTTACCGACATTCACACAAATAAGTCAGCCAGCCAGCCATCCATCCATCCAGACGTCCATCAAAGCGAAGCCATTGCATTTACTCGCCGCTCACAGCTGATATTGATGGCAAACATTTTTCATTCGCTCTCCGAACGAATAACACTGAGAACAGGTGAGCACAGCAGTGAGCTGTGACACTGCCACAGACATGACAACAAGGTGTTAATTTTTCTTGGTGATTACTTCAAGAGAACCCATATAGAAGCTTAATGCACAGTGTTTGGTCAATAGAATTTTACCATATTTTTAAAGAAAATTTCAAATCAATAAATCAGTTAAATAATTCAAATAAAAATATTAATTTATCATTGGAAATAGTAATCAAATCATATATGCATAATAAAAATGTCACTTGCTTTACATTAGTATCACAGATGGAGTTTCCTAACACAATACCACCATTGTGAAAATAACTTTATTATAATCGTTTGATATTGACACTTGCATTTACACCATGATAAATTACTTTAGGCACCATTTTGCGCAATTTACTTACAAAACTCATTGGTGTCAGAACACGCTGCCAAAGATATGCTATCGATACACCTGTTCCAAAGTTATGCTTGATTTTTTTTTTTTACTTTAATTTTTTGTTGCATTCTGTTCGCCAGATGTCAGTTACAGTAATATTGTCTATCAATTTACTTTCCTACGAAGCTGGAATAGTTGAAGTTAATATTTTAGTAGACACAACGAAGAAACAAAAAAACAAATATAACGATATAATATTTAAACAAAACGTTACACATCATTAACTGCAGATGGGGTGGCATGCATTTGCGTGTATGCTTTCTTAGTTTATAACTTAAACATGACCTTAGTGATTTATTACAAAATTTCAGCCATCGATTTAGTTATGTATAAAATAATAGTTTGCGATAAAATTACATTTTGAAAGTACTTCCCCCGAAAATATATTAAAAAATATAAATAATTAAAAATATAAATTACACTGTGGGACACGAAAATAATTCAGGAGTTTTAATGTAACAATTCTGTTTAGTTTGAGTCCCTGGAACACGAAAATACCCTTGGTTTTTCTGGGTCTCTTCGAAAATTAGTTTTATAACGGTAAAGGTAGAGGAACCCGTGGTTTCATAGATTTTCAATTTGAAACGCGAATAACTTATTTTATTTATATTATTCTTAGAAGAATTTTTCCTTTCAGACAAGATATCTATTTGGTAAATCGGTTGAGGATTGGTTGAGTTACAGTGGTTGAAATGTGAAAAAATATGCGTAATTTATTTTTCTTCGGACTTTACATGACGGGGAAAATTAAATAAGCTTTCGAAAATGAGAAAAATAAAAAAGATCGGTCAAAAATGAATGGTATTGTCCGCAAAGGTAAGGGTAAGGGAAGACTACAGTTTCGGATTTCGCCACTGCTGCTCATTAGTTCTTTTAGTTAAAAAAAGAGTTTCAGAACCTAGACCAAGCAGTACCAGGTGATATTTTAATGGTTATAGCGTCTGCGACCGTTTATAAACATACGAGTTATTGCCGATAATATACAAGTTGTTGCTGAAAGTTGTATGTAAAAAGTGAATAACAAAATAAAATTTGACTTTAGTTTCGCCTTCAACCAAATTTGCTGTAGTTTGACATATTAAGTTAGCATTGTGTGGCACATATAAGTCTGAAGCTATATCTAAGTCTGAACCGATTCAGAAAACTTAACATACATCATTTTAGACCTACTTCATTACGCTGTGCCAAATTTCGTGCAAATCTAAAGATATTAAGGGACTTTGGCGCACCATGTACATTAAATCGGAAAATATATATGGGAGCTATATCTAAATCTGAACCGATTTTCAGGAAACTTAACACATACCATTGTAGACCTAATTAATTACGCTGTGCCAAATTTCGTGCAAATCGAAAGATATATAGGGACTTTGGTGCACCATCTACATTAAATCGGACGAAAATATATATAGTAGCTGTATTGAAATCTGAACCGATTTTTAGGAAACTTAACACACACCATTTTAGATTTTTAAATTTCCTGCAAATCGGAAAAAATATATATGGGAGCTATAACACACACACCATTTTAGACCTACTTCATTACGCTGTGTCAAATTTCGTGCAAATCTAAATATATTAAGGGACTTTGGTTCACCATTTACATTAAATCGGTCGAAAATATATACTATCTAAATCTGAACCGATTTTCAGGAAACTTAACACACATCATTCTAGACTTAATTCATTACGCTGTGCCAAATTTCGTGCAAATCGAAAGATATATAGGGACTTTTGTACACCATTTACATTAAATCGGACGAAAATATATATGGGAGCTATATCTAAATCTGAATCGATTTTTCTCAATTTCAATAGGGTTCGTCCTTGGGCTAAATAAGTGAACTGTGCCAAATTTCATCCAAATCGGATCAAAAATGCGACCTGTACTTTGTTCACAAAAATACATGGACGGGCGGACGGACATGGACATATGCACAAAGACATAATACCGTGTTCCACAGAGTGGTAAAGGGTATAATTATCGTTATAGATCCATGCTATGTTATATCCTCCATATAAAGGTCCCGCTAAATTGTCGTAATTTGAAGAGTTTTGCCACGTTATCCAACAAAAAGTTCTAGATTGGTAGGTTCTTAGTAATGTAAATAAAATAGGTATATTATGGGTTATGTATTATCAATATATTAATTATACATTTTAATAACATGTAGTACCAATAATGATATGTTTATGATTTTTAAATCTAATACCGAAACATATTTTAGTTCCTGGAATATCCCACCCACACTGCAACCTGGCATACATGTTGATGAGGTAAGAAATAAATATTTATGTACACATGTTGTGTTCAATACAATGACGTAGCAACCATTTAAAAATAGCAGAATTTTGATTTAAACTTGTTGTTGGGTGGTATTGACCGACCGACCGGTCAATTTTCAATTCTTCATTTCTTCTAAACAAAATGATTGGTTGGCTTTGTTTATTTTTCTCTGCTTCTACATCTTGCGAATATTTATGGTAAACACGTGTCCACAACTAAGTGGAATCATTCACAAGTGTTGAAAGATGTGGACAGGTTTGACGTACAACATGTGATACCTTTGCAAGACGTTTGATTGAATGCTATCAGTGATGCCGATGCTGCCGCACACCCACACACCCACTCGACCAGATACGTAAATTACGGTCGCTGAATTATTCTTGGCTGAGTAGATGGAAATTATTCTTCAATTTCCACATAAAATTTGATTTCCTTAGCTTTGCTGCGAATGTCGAGGAGTAACCGAAGTAACTCGATTCAATTAAAATCATTTTGCAAATACGATTTATGCTTTCCAAAAATTCCCAATTAATGAAATTATGCGGGTCAAAATCCAATTCGTTTTGATTCCATATCTCATAAATTCTTCTCAGTCATCTCAGTGTTGTGATGTGCTGTGCTCACGTTGCCGATGTGATGATGGTTTGAAATTTCCAATGTTGGGTTTGGGTTGCTCTGGCTTTTGAAGAGTTTAAAAGTATTTCATTTAAGTTGAAAGTGTGTATGGACGGGTGTGTGTTTGTATGTATGTTGATTGTGGGTGGCTGACTGGCAAATAGAAGGGTTTTTATGGTACTATGTATGTGTCTGTGGTTGTTAGTGCATTGATATTTGTGGCATTGTGTGTATGTTTTCTGCACATCAAATGATTATTGTGTGTTTGTTTAAGAGAATATGGTGTGAATGGTAAATGTATGCAAATCTCTTCGAGAAGAACAAAACAAAAGCCAGAAAAAAACTACAATGAGTGTGCTTAATCAAAATTCAAATTGTTTTAAATGTGAGTGAAAATACTGCTGCTGCTGTTGTTGTTGATTTTATAGTCGGTATTCTTGTTATAGTTTAAATGAGTAGTTGAATGGTTCCCTTCGAATACAAATTTTCAAATACCTGTGCTGCAAACAGCACACAAACGTGTGGCGTATTTAATATTCACACTTCTTGTTTTAGCTATCCTCAACTAATAAAGTGGCACAGTGGAACCAATAAAAAAAATTGGATTTAAATTTACAACATAACTTTTTTCAGACAAATACATTCCAATCATTTCTGCTGTATTTGATATTGAAATATATGATACGAATTAAAACGCCTTTAAGTTCGGCAGGGTTGAACTTTTAATTCAAACTACCTAAAATCGGAAACTGTATATGAGGGATACACCATGGTAAATTGTTACCAGCGGATGTTTATACTCTGAGACTACGAAATATCACATTACAGAATCAGGTTGAAAATTCGGCTAGGGCCTTCAACATATGGAAACTGTATAGGAACTTTATATGGAGGCTATGTCAAAGCAAGTTCAGCAGGGTTAAACTTTTAGTTCAAAGTACTACTACATGTAAAGTTTCCGATTTAAACTTTACATGAGGGATATGCCTTGGATTTTTATAAATAAATCGGAAACTTTACATGAGGGATATGTCTCGGATTTTATACTCTCAGACTACGAAATAGCACATTACAGAATCAGGTTGAAAATTCGGCTATGACCTTCAACATATAGAAATTGTATAGGATCCTTATATGGAGGCTATGTCAATGCTTGGACCTGTATTGAATATTTTCTGCTAACAAATTTTCCGTCTATAAAGAACCGTAATGCCAATTTACGGCCTAAAAAGTGGGCGGAACTAAGTCGAAATATGGACCTATTTTGAGCAGATAAGTCCAAAAAATATGATTTTTAAAAATCCTAAACTTGTTCGTTACAGTTATATATTATCTATACTTTCATGGGACATGACACTATTCACGAACTAGCCGATCTGAACAATGTGAATGGAGGCGACTTAAGGAATTTTTAAAAAAACGCAAAATTCCAAGAATCATAGGGAGATTAAACCCAAGATGCTTAATCTAACTTTCTTAATTCTAACCTTCTTTTCAACAGGCCTCAACTGGCTTAAGTGTAGGTCCTTTTTTGTTGGACATGTAGTGGTGTTGTCCACTCCTATTTTTTCAACCTAACATAACCTAGTGAATGTTTGTAAACAAAATATTTCTACACCTTAATAACCCGAACAATAACATAATATTTAAACATATATTATTTCGTGTCCTTGACACATGAACTATGACCAAGAACCATTTTATCCAATCCATCTAACACATAATACCTGCACATTCAGACCTAAAATAGCAATCCCCAAGAAAATACTATTTTATGACCAACAATGTCGTCAACTAAGAGCTGAACAACAACAGCAGCAGCAACAACGCTTATCTATGCCATGCCACATACGAGTACATGAAATGCTATTATTTGGTGACCTTCTGGACTTGGTTCTATATTTTGCGTTCAGTTCATCTGCACCTGAATCAATGTTATAAAGAAAACAGGTTTCCCTTTTTCACTGAGCGAAGTGACACAATGTCTGTCATAACATTGGAGAAAACAATTCCATGGAATCTACTGATGATTTTTGCCATTTCCATTTCAAACACTGTGGGTATTTTGTAATTTAGACGAACACACACACCTATACACACGTACACCTTACACAAAAGGATAATCAAACAAAATATTTCTACACTGGATAGATATTGGGTTGTAACGATGGAAAGGGAATGCTATCAAATATATTGAAATTGTAAATGGAAACTAGTAAACATTTCGTTCCGCCTGTCCAAATTTGTTATACACTCTAACACGTGATGTATATTAAAAATTCCTTAAATCGTACTCAGGTTCTGAACTTATCACAATGAATATTATAAGGGGCATTTGTAAGGGAGTATTTTAAAATATTAACCTACATTGAAAATTTTCTGAAAAAATGTTTTTTATTCAACAAGAATCCGATATGCCAAATTATAGCCACTTCGGTGAGAAAATTTAGCTTAGAACTTAATAAAGAGGCAAGATATTTATGTGGGGCTTTTTAAAAAAAAAATTGGGCCTCCCAAAATGCCAAATTACAACCACTATAGCGGTAAAATGTGTATTATTATACCAATTTTCTGCAACGTCTATGGGAAAAACACCTAAAGACTTCAAAATGCCAGTCTGAACCTTAATATGGGAGTTATAATTTTTGGTAGGAAGATTTGATACCTCGTGAGAATCTTACAAATAAATTATTCAATTCGGTTGAAAATTGTGCCCAAAATAACCATTAATAGAGATACAATTATATTGGGGCTACCCAGAGACTTGGGTAGAAAGAGATTCATCGTGTAGAGGGACGAAATCTTATAAAAATAAAGTTTTCGGTTCTTGGCACCCCTAAATATATACACAATAGCACCGAACATTTTAGGCGTCGTCCATGATCAAAATCAGAACTTTATCTCCCCTATTACGGTAGTAATAGGATTTCGGAAAATTGAAAATTGTCTTAAAAAAATTGGAGCGGTTTGTACTATAAATGACTTATTTGATTCTTTCATAAAAGTGAAGATATTTGATGCAAAATTCGACAGATTATTTATGTCGTCGGTGCAAACTATCGCCATTTTCGATAACATTTGAAGTAGTAACAAGTTTCTCAAGTCGATGAAAGGCAGAACTTGGGATCATTACATCATAATGGAATGGTAGGTGGTACATTCCAACCCTCGGTCTATTCATTTTTCTCTATTCCTTTGCGTTTTACTCCAAAATTTACATATGAAATCTCCATTGCTTCAGTACACCCCAATATATAAAATACACGATTGAATAAAATCCCATACAATTTGTTATTTGTTCTCAATTCTATAACACCTTTTTAGTGTCTTTGTCTTTACGATTTTTGGTTCGGTAAAACACACTCTGCGGCAGCAGGCAAATCCATTCCATGCTACGTACGTCTGTCTCTTCGTCTGATGTTGGTGTGGTACATTTTCCATGTTAAATTGTTTGTCTGCCCGACTGTCAGCTAACGGGTACGTTGTTCCATAAGAGAGAGTGGGTCGTGAGCGAGGCAATCATATTTGGACATTGCAGGCAGCCAAACGTTCTCCACACACACACACTCGAAAAGTAAATCTTGCAAAAGCCATAACCAAACAGCCAGCCAGCATTTGTAGCTCTGCTGGCGCTGCTGACTGCTTGATGCTGGCTGGTAATGGTGCTTTGCTAGCAAGAACCAGCACTGCCAAAAAGATGCAAAGGTAAACACACTATAACAGTTGTATTTTGTTGATGAACGGGAACAGTTTAAAAGAACACAACTGAATTCGAAAGAAAATTCGTACAACATTTTGAACGGAAATATTATAACGGACGTGATTTCGAAAATCAAAATAAATAATAAAATTTCAAATACAATGACTTAGGGTCTCATTAGACATGACCATTAGAACCATATGTCAGCAGACATTGTGAAATCAATAAAATTAAAGTCATGCCAATAGGGCCAGAAGGCAAATAACAACAACAACAACAGCAGCAATAATAACAATAACAATGACCTTGAAAGTAACAACGCCAACGAATTAAAATATCGCGGAAATCGGATATTAAACAAAACGGACATTATACCGTATGCTGCCAAACCACTACCAGTGTAAGAATTTATTATCGTCTACTGTCTGCGCGTGTGTGTGTTTGTGTAGGTATCCTTGCCACAATGGATGGTAGCAGGAGAAAGTGTACCTCTGCAAAGCAATGAAGTGAAAGTGTTTACAAAACCCAAAACAAAACTTGGCATCTGTTACGAACAAAAAAAACAAAAAAGACGCATACGAAATAAAAACACGGTCTCATGTAAACACGTGAAAACAATATCGAAAACGTGAATAAAGAAAAGCAACAACAACAATTCGATTGGAATTCATGGCGTCCTCATTGCGGTTTCCTGTCATAAAAAGAAGAACAAAATCATAAATTATGTCAATGAATACGAACAACGACAAAGATATTTTTGAATATTTTGAAAACAGAAGCCAAGTCGTTAAATAATTTAAAATAAAAAAATTACGTTGGATTTGATACAACATTTTTTTTAAATTATTAAAAAAAAAATAAGTTAAAAAAATGGCAACTGCAATTACAATTGACAACACCACTGTGCCATTTCGCCCCATTTTCGAGGACAACATAGCCTTCTTCCCAGATCCCCAGCAAAATGAAACGGATTTTTATCCCGAAATTAGCCGCATGGTTCGTGTTATTGTCCCACTGTGTTTCGGCGTTATAGCTGTGACCGGCTTCTTTGGCAACATTCTGGTCATATTGGTGGTGCTGCTGAATCAGCAAATGCACTCAACAACAAATTTACTGATTGTCAATTTGGCCATGGCTGATCTTTTGTTTGTCGTCTTTTGCATTCCATTCACAGCCACAGACTATGTGGCCGATACTTGGCCTTTTGGTGATCTATGGTGTCGAATAGTTCAATATTTGATAGTTGTCACAGCATTTGCCAGTATTTATACGTTGGTGTTGATGTCAATTGATCGCTTTTTAGCTGTCGTCCATCCCATAAGATCGCGAATGTTACGCACGGAGAAAATAACGAAAATTTGCATTTGCACCATATGGGGTGTTATATTGGCGATATCGTTACCAGTAGCCGCAACACATGGAGTTGTGGTAAGTGAAATTAAAAACTAATGGAAATGTGTGGTGGCTCTGGTATGAACTATGATTATTAGCATCACACAAAAATTCACAAAATGACGGACATATGAAATTTAATTTTTTGAAATTTCTCTATTTTTGACCACAAACCAAGTTAGAAAATAATAAATTTCTTGACCAATTTCATTTATCCTAGTCCATACGATAACTATGTATGTACTGAATAACATGTTAACATTTCGAACGGATTTGATTATCAGTTTTTGATTTATGGTACCTGCCATTTCTAAAAACACTATTTCGAGAAAAACGTGAGTATAAATTGGCTATATTTTCAAGAGTTGTTCAGATTTTCTCTTGAAATTTTAAAGAGACATTCAAATTGAATAAAAAACAAATTTTTTTTGAAACTTAGAAAAAGGCTGATCTTGTGAGAACAACTAAAATAATCTGTTTGTTCAATTTTGTAGACGTCCAGTTTCGAAATCTCCTCTGTACTTGTCAATTGTAATATTTAGATCATAGAATCTAGTAATACAAAATCGAGCTTATGGTCTTGGGGGGTGGGAAATTCCTAAGAACCCAGGAGGACTTCTTCGCTATAGATAGAGATGGTATTTATTAAAGTAATTACTGTCTGTTAGATAAATTTTTCTATCAAATTGACCGTAACTTGTTACAAGAGGACGATAAGTACAAAATATTTGTTTAATATTTATCTATTATGTTTATAAGTTGTTATGAATGTGACATCATCTGAAAGGAACTATATTAATTAAAGATCTGCAACTAGTTCCGATAGTTCCTTTCTCAGAATAGTTCCAATGAACTAATTCGTTCCGGAACTACCCAACTCTACTTATTATATTTTGCCCTGCTTTAAGGTATTTTGACCTCATTGCAGAATATGTACAAAAAAGGGGTCGATATCGGTTCATTTTTGAGGATAGAAAAGAATATTTCCAATATAAGCCAATCTTTCTAAATGGTTGTTATTTGTGTGGCTGCAGATGGGTCTAGCGTAGGACGAAAGTTGTAAGTTGGAACATATATTAAATTGATCATTCCTTTTGCAACATCTCGAAATATTCACCGGAGATATTCGGTATTTTGGGGACTTTTGGCAAGTTCTTTCGATGAGTTGAGCTTTCAAATTGCCATAGCAAAACGGTAGATATCGTTTCTTATTTGAGGAACAGGCAAATTTTTGTTTTTCTTCCTCGCACCCCTTTCGCCTACAAACTCAGTATTTGCCAAATAAAAATTTGCCTGTGGAAACCCTTTGACTTAAAACACTTCCAAAAGAAACGATTAATTTGTTCACATTTTAGTAACAACTCCCAAATTTCGGTATTTTTAACAATTTAAGGACAAAGTTTTTTCAACCGAAATGGGGCTTCTATCTCCCCACCAAAAATTATCAATATTGGCCACCCTATCTCGTACCTGAAAGTTCGTAGCAATGTAGCGAACTTCACGACGTTTTTACTTGTTATAGCATTAGCATAGTACGCATTTCAAATTGATGAATTACATTCTTTGCAGTACATTGACAACGTCTCTGAATTATGTTGAAACATTCCTATACTCAAATTATAGAATAACTCAAATATAAAAAATATTATTTTTTAGATTATTTTTCATCAGATTTGATATATGTTGGATAAAATTTGTATTTGTAGGAGGAAAACCCAATATTTGTTTTTATAAAAATCAAAACATTTCTAAGGTTTTGGTCGTTTGTAAACACGTGCAAGTGTAATGAGCTCCAATAAATTATAAACATTTTTCAACGATAACACTTATTCATTATTTACAAAATATAGAGATATAATCTGTTTCTTTTCCCTTCCAAAAATTAAAAAAAGAATGAGCAGATTTTTAAGTGAACACTCAAAACGTATTCATAAAAAAACTACGCAGAGAGCAGAACAGAAAAAACATTTTGTTTTTTAATATTTATTTTGAATTTCTTAATTTTATATTGAATGTGGTGTTAATGTGTTTATAAGCCTGAAGTGTGAAAACCGTTGAAATACCCAAACAAATATGTATCTCCCACTCGAAAACGTAAAAAACGAACATTGCAAATATTAGAAAAAGAAACGAAATGATTTTTTAATTGCACATGCCTGAAAAAAAAATATAAATTCACGAAAAAGTATATCATTGATGGCTGAGATTGGCTAATTTGAAATAAAAACCGAAACGAATGTTTGAAAACGATAAAAATTTCCATAATTATGGAAATTCAATTAAATGATTACGTCGAATGGAAAATTAACATAAAACGATGTGTAACAAAATATAAAAAAAACATGTGTATAGATGATTTAAATATATTATTATATAAATAAATGATTAAGTACCAGATAACTTCTATGTGACCTGAAAGATCATTTGTTCTATTCCAAAATTTATTACCATCTCCATTACATTTATTGCCAGATCGCGTACTCATTAGCAAACTTTAATAGTTTAACGATTTAAAGAAAATTTTATCAGCCTATTGCCTGAAAAACATTTTCAATTACTCTCGTCTCCCATTCCAATTGATGATGGCCTATTCAAATTATTTCCATTTCCATTTGCAAAACAATAACGAAAAACTGGAACCATTCAATTTAGCCTCATAAAAACGAAACGCTAAATTTCTAAATGTTATAGCTGGCGGAATAATGATGTTGATGATGATGATGGCGGCTGTGGTGGTGGTGGTAATATGGATAACACTATCTATCTAACTAATGCTGATGATGTTGATGGTTAAAAATCTTCCTTAGGTATGCCTTTCAGCAAGGCTAATGGTCATTCATTCATTTGTTCATTGGTTCGTTCGGTGGTTCATGCGATCGTTTGGCGCCCATACACGTTCTGTTGACGAGGTGTCGATGATTGAATGGCCATAAATTGAGGAATTTTGTTATTCATTCGATGTTCGGCCCCTTCTCGTTCGCTGCCTGAACCAGTCAACAAAACATAAACATACAAACGTTTGGCTGCCTGGATGGCTGGCTGACGTTGTGGCTGCCAACACTTTAAACACATGGTTGGCAAATGCAAGCAGTATGGTCAACAAAAGCATACAGCTACATAAAAATTCATACAAAGAACAATTTGACTGATACAATATTTATCCAATTTATAGGTGAACCTATACGAATGTTGATTGTTGTTAAATGTTTATAAAATATGGACATGACATCGTCAACTGTTGAAAATATCACATCGATTAATTGAAATATTACATCTATTTAGAAGTTGTTAATATTAATAATTTTAAAATCAAAAAAAGTTAAACCCATGAGGTATCCATTCGAAATAACTTAAATTGATCGGAATTTGTATGGGGGGCTACGTCATGGTAATTTTTGGTATTTGTCAACCAATTTGGTCCCAAAATATCAGATTACTGTCAATTCGGTTGAAAGCGTATCCAAAATTCTTACACGGGGCTCTAACCCGAAATTAAGTCAATATTGATTATTTTTGCCAGATATATCGTGATTTCAACACGGTTTTGAGTGAGTATTTCAGAATGAAATTTAAAATTTCAAGTTGTTGTTATAGTAACAAAATATTATGTATCATAGATTGTCTGGTACTGGTTCACCAGGCATGTCTCTCTAGCAAATACTGCATTGACAACATAATGTTGTGTCGATGGACGGATAAGATCTTCTCATGAAGATGGTCCACTGGAGTAATAAGAAGACAGCGTGTTGCAGTTCGCAAGGGCAGCATTCTGGCAGGTCTGGATATTTCTTCACCGCGTATCACTTACATTCGCAAACCACACTGACACCGCATATATTACCACTGCCGGTCAGTGTTATTACTTTATAAAAGGTCCTTGTCAGCGCCCCGAATGCTGCCGGCTTATCGCTTAAAGCATTGGCGCAGACGACTTAAAAAGGCTATCGAGCTTTAGGTGTAGTTTGTGATCGGAATCAGTTCTCCATCGACCGTTATGTTCAGCGGAAGCCTCATTTCATGCGTCCATTTGGCGAACTGTGGCGGATATATATATATATATATATTCCACAGATGGAAGAAATTTGCAAGATCAACTATGTAGAAGTTTAACATCTCACAAATGTCATCAATAATGATCGCCATGATCGTACAGTCATCCGCATACATTACGATCTCTAGCCGTCCGTTGGTTATGGAATTTCATACCCCTCCTTGTTTTATTCTACGGGGTTTGGACTTCCACATACGACTGGTGTCAATACATATATTTTATTATCCAACAATTGGAGATTTGTCTTCTCTATGTTCTCGAACGGTTTGGCATGTTAGATTGAATCGAATGCTCGAATGCATACCAGCCTGTTAACTTCAAGGGCAGGTTATCGTACCCTTGGGTCTTCAGGGGTCGAACGATGGAGCTCATCACGTTCATTAGCCAGTACCGTTGCCTTTGCTGGAAAATTTGGTCTTAATTCTGGTATTCGACCAGCGAGCCCTAGCAGTAGTGATGATTTTACGGAAAAAATTCTCAGTTACCCAAGGATCTGAGGAAATTGGCAGTTCTCTGAAGCGGTGATTGATATCCTACACAACTACCACTGAAATTTTACTTTCTGCGGATCCAATTCCCGGGCCTGTCAAAATTTCTCTTGTGTAGTACTGGTACCAGCGAACTTTTTTTAGAATTTGTAGATCTGCATTTTTTTATTTTAATATATATATATGAGCAATATTGCCAATTTTTTAATATTCCATTTTCAAAAAATCAGTTTTTTTGTTTTTGTGGCACATCAATGATTTTTGGTACACATATAGAGAAAAATGTTCTGACTCCAAAACCGTTCGCAATCAAATTTTTGGTTTTTTTTTAATTTTATACAAGAAATTTCAGAAAAAAAGTTGGGGTTATTCTGCTATTTACCCGAATTTCGCCGAAAAATTTACATATATAATATTAATAATAACTTTTTGTGTACGCCTTGCGTATTATATCAAGACCCTTCCGATAAATCTTAGGGTTCTATAAATAGGAATAAATCTTAAAATAAAATAATATTATGAAATATACATTTTTAATTGCGTCTAAATCGCGTAATTCTTAAAATCATTTGATGCGCATGCGGTTTCCAGGAGGGATGAAATTTATCTTCCAATCCATATATATTTTGCGAAATTTCATTTGACGGCTAAGATGTACCACACATTGCATTGAAGTACCCAAAAAATCGTAAAACGCGAATAATTTCCGAAAATTCCATATGCCAATAACGCGCATCCGATTTCGGTGTGCACCCTAAAAAAATACATCGATCTATACCGATTTCAATGTGGGCCATTAAGAATCATGGATGTGCCAGCTCGCACTATTTTTGAGATAAATTGGGTACATCTCTCTTTCGGCTGAAGTTTTTAAAGTTCTCTTTTCGAAAAAGATCAAAATCCGTATGAGGTCATTTATTGAAGCGGAAATGATCCACAGAAAACGCAAATAAATCCGCGATGTTTTCAAAAACATTTTTTGCCAAATTTCGTGTTTTTGGAAGGCCAGTTCCCGCCGTTCAGTAGATGGATTTTCACGAAGAAGATTTTATATCATCCGAAACGTAAAACGGGTACCCATATCATTCAGTTGACAGATCTAAAAATTTGGCCCGAAAAATAGGTTTTTTAGAAATTTGATCGCACAAAATTTCCACCTTCGGGTGAGTATTACTCTGAGGCTGTGCATAATACCTACACAAAATATATATCAAATTACTCAGATTCGCGACTACAATAATATTATAATCGATTTTTAGAAATTCCTGTTTGCGTATTAAAGCTAGAAGTAAAATTAAAAAAACACTCAAAATCGAGCTTCAAAATGTCAGCATCATTTACAGGTAGATGCAGTTAAAATTTTGAAAAATGATACATAAGGGACGTAGTCCCCATTTTGTTGGCTCTTAGTTTTACTTTGACGCGAGGACCCTGAAATGAGTGGCTTAATCACAAATCGATAGAGAACATAAAAAACTGGTTCGCCTCAACCTGTTTTTACACATTTTTTTACGTTAAAGTAGACACAGCTTCCACGCATCTACACTTAGGAGGTCAAAATCATGAAAAGTTTGCAACGACAGTTCAATTAACCCAAACCTATTCACTTTTTTTCATATACATAAGTAATTCCCGAGTTATAATGGGGTTAACCTCCGCTTCAGCTATGTTAAAAAATTGGCAATATTGCCCATATATATATATATATATATATATACACCTAAGTCAGTTTTTACACGGTCTTTTTGTACACGGTTTTGATATAGCACGGTTTAAAAAATTGAATATTTTTAATTTTTTTAGACGATTTTATTCCATTTAGCACGATTTGAAATTTTATGTACTTTTTTGTCAAAATAATTTTTTGCGAAGTATGCTCATATCACAAAAAAGTATTTATGAAAGAAAAAAAAATTAACATTAAAAAGATGCATTTCTTTGAAAGTAAATTTCCTTCAAACAATTTTCTTACAAAATTTCCCTGAAAATTAACTCACAACCCTTTCTAGATGATAAGATAAATATCCATGTATTTATTTCCATATGAAATCCTTCGGCAAAGTCTTTTTCTTTCTACGCAATTCGGTAGCAATTGCAACAGCAGCGGTATTTACAACGAATCTAACGAAGCTAAACAAAAAATGGAAATGTGTTTTGCAAAAATTTGAAAATTATTAACAATTTCTGTTGTTGCTGCTGTTTGTTTTTCATGAGGTCTGCATGTGGAAAAATACAACAACCTCATAACATTCAATACCAACAGCAACAACAATAACAATAGAAGGCAGCATCATTATTATAAGCAACAGTAGCATCAGCAGCAGCACCACCACCATCAGCATCAACAACAGCAGATGCTAAAGTTTGGCTACACCAATGGCAATGGCATGCTAACCTGCTGTTTTATTTTACGAGGAGCCGACAACAACGTTTACGTTGTACTCGTCTGAATACCCCCACATTCTCCCCCTTGCCCCTTTCACTAATCAATACTGCATATATCGCGTGCACTTTTAAAATTCAAATGCTTTGCACAGAGGGCACTGGCCATTGAATGAGGTACGAGATATAAGTTTTGATGGATATTTCATTTCGGTGGGTGGCTGTTTGCCAAGCGGGCGGGCTGGCTAGCTGCTCGCTGACTGACTGACTGACTGGGTTGGCTGCTTCGTATATTTGTTATTGTTGTCGGTGTTATTGGCTCATTGAATTGTTATTTGTAACTGAGCAAAATGTTTTGTTTTGCTAATAATACACACATAATAAAGTCGTAAAAATCGTTTGCGAATATAAGTTTTTATTTTACGATATTTGTTTTTTTGTTGTTTTTATTTTTCGAATAAACATTCAACTTTTGCGTACTAAATCGGCAAATATATTTGAATATATATAATATTGCTTTACATTAGATCGGTTTGTATTCATATGGAGATTTTTAAAATAAAACGGACTGAGAAGTTTTGGAACGTGTATAGCTGGTATCTATACTAACAACGGTGTAAAGTGATTGACTGACTTACTGACTGATTGACTGACGAAATGACTGAAGTTAGAATCTTGAAATTTTGGGTGAGACCAATCCTTATCCAAAGGTGGGGTTTTGAAAATTTGTACTAGAACAGCAAGAAAAGTGGTAAAAAGTACTTAATATGGGACCATTTGTATTTGGCGAACCGGCGGAGCTAAATTTGTAATGAGGATCACTATTGAACTGTAAATAGATGTACTAAAGCATTTTTGGAAATTCGAACTATAAGTATACGAAAAGTACTAAAATGTACTAAATTTGGTACAATTTGTTAGCATTGGAACGGAAAGAGCTAAAAACATGAAGTTTCGAATGCGAATCAAGGAAGAAGGAGCTGGTTTTAAAAGTGTGATTCGTGTATACAAAAAATACTATATGATACTATATTTGGTACAATTTTAATTTGGAAGTACGGATGGCTTGTATCCTGGAATAGTCAAATAACATTACAGGTCAAATTTAACTATGCACCTACACTCTGAGTAGGATTGGGATATGCACAAAGTTGTATAAATGTTTTAGTTATATGTACGAAAAGCAACCGATAGAGCTGGAACACTGACATTTTGATTAATGTTGGAATGTAGGATTGGAGTATGGTTGTAGTTTTCGGAATTCATACTTGTGGGTACTAAATGTTACTAAATTTGGTACAAATTAGATTTGGGCAAAATTTGAAATTCTGACAAAATTTGGCGTGCTAAAAAGGAGACCTTGTTAGAGACCTTGTCCATCTATCCATAGTATCAGGCGAGAAGCAGTGGCCTTGGCAGACACGACTAGTCTTAGCTCAGCTAAGATCACCTCATCGATTCCTACTGGGCACGATACATAACGAACGCTTTGCAAAATGTCGTGCATTTCAAAAGGTATATAGGCACTTTTGTTCACCATTTACATTAAATAAGACGAAAATATATATGGGAGCTATATTTAAATCTGAACCGATTTTCACCAAATTTAGCACGCATCAAAAATTTCGTACATCTCGAAAGAAATATAGGGGGTTTGTTGCACCATTTGCATAAAATCGGACAAAAATATATATAGCTCCCAAATTGAACCGATTTCAATGGGGTGTGTCCTTGGGCAAAATAAATGAGCTGTACCATATTTCATCCAAATCGTTTACAATTTTACATCAACAAACGGAGTGATTCTATACATTTTCTCAGAAGGAACTATGGGTTATCTCATACATAAGCTGTTGGTATAGACATTTATTTCACGTGACCGAAAAGAAGAAATCCCAAGGTGGTAAATAACAAGTTATCGATGAACAATTGTGATCACCTCTTCGTCAGATAACATGATGAGGTTTGGCGTCTTTTTAAGACTCTTCAAGCAAATAGTGAATGCTCAGCGGACCAGGTGTTCCGAATTTATATATATATGACCTAGTGTACAATGTTTGCATATTTTTGATTGTTTTTAAATTTAGCGCTTTCGTGAATTTGTTAACAATAAATAATATCGTAATTTTTTACTTTCGTTGTTTGTCGAAAGTTCTGGTTGTTTGTTATTTTTTTATTTATAGCAGTTTTCCTCCCGAACTATCATTATTTGATTGGATCGTATATGTTTGATTAATTGGAAAGTCGTTGGATTTACTTTTTATAAATGAAAGTATATATTTTATAAATATTTTGGAATATAATCTATCAATATTGAAATTGTAAACAATTATACTATATCTCTTTGTAGTAATTTATTCCACAACTACATATTTACATACATATGAGAACGAAATTCTTCATACCTATTTTGAAAATAGAACACTATGTTGTAAAAAAATACTCAGATTATGCACAATAATTCCTTGAATTTCAAAAAACTAAAATTCCACCTTCCATATAACTCAATTGAAACACATACATTCACATACTAATTATGTTTTCGGTTTTTTTTTCTTGTTTTTACAGCACCTGGAAGGACCCAACTACAACCTGGAAATGTGTCAGTTTATGCAAAACAGTTTCCTATCACTGTCCGTCTATCAGATCATATTCTTTGCTAGCTCATATCTAGTGCCGCTAATGGTCATTAGTGGTCTCTATATGCGGATGATTACAAGTCTATGGCGACATGGTACCTCCGTACGAATGTCCATGGAATCGCAACGCGGACGAAAACGTGTAACACGTTTGGTTGTTGTTGTGGTGATAGCATTTGCCTCATTATGGCTACCCGTACAGGTGAGTAAGCCATTCTATTCGATAGCAGTGCGATAGTCACCATCACCGTCATCGTCACTGTTACCGTCACCATCATCATCAGCATCATCGACATGAGAAGATTACAGAGCAAATGTTGCAGCAACATTAAAAACTTGGTAGAACAACAACTGCGACAGAGTAGCAGAGCTATTTAGAACTTAAGCTTATCGGATTGACATTATTATTGTTGTTGTTATGGTTTCCACAGATTTCATTTTGTTAATGCGGTATATTGTGTGTGTGTGTGGTTGTGGCTCCATGTCGTATTAAACGAAATGTAATCTTGGTGTGCGAGTTTTTGATCACATTAAGAGGTGTGTGGTATTTAGCGAAATATAACCAATATTCATTTATTTTGGAGTTTTTCATGTTTGGATGCAATGTGGGATATGTGAGGTAGATTACCGTAAAAACATGAAAGAGGACTGGTATGAATATGAATATAAGCGATGAATATAAACGATGTGACTGTAATAAGACATTTTCAGTTTACAGAAAATAAACACCCTTTGACAAAAAAAAAACAGTAAGGAAAGTAGTAAATTCGGACGGGGCCGACTATATGATACCCTTCACCACTATGGGTATATTAAGCAGGACTATTATCATGAAATTGGATGAAATAAAATATGTGATATTTGTCTAAATGTGAATCGACCTAGATCTTTCCATAAAAATGTCATTCGTTTGTTACAATGGGACAAAAGTATGTAAATCGACTCCAAACAAATATCCCTTGTCATCCATTGGGCTATGTCTGTACTTCTAGAAAACGCAACTACGTTATTCTATACTCAAGTTTGTAGATTGTGCAAAATTTGATGTCAATCTAACAAGCATGAAGAGTTTGATGCACAATTTACTTAAAAACGGACGAAAATATATATATAAATATATTAGCTATATAGAAATTCAGTACGCTATGCAGCATAAGAACTTTGGTACATTATTTACATTAAATCGGACGAAAATATGTATATCTAGATCTGAACCGATTTTCACGAAACCCAGCACACATCATTCCAGCATCAATTCAGTACGCTATGCCAAATCTCGTGCAAATCGAAAGGTGTATAAGGTCTTTGGTGTACCATATACATTAAATCGGACGAAAATATATATGGGAGCTATATCTAAATCTGAACCGATTTTCACGAAACTTAACACACATCATTCTATACTCAATTCAGTATGTTGTGCCAAATTTCGTGCAAATCGAAAGATATATAGGGGCTTTGGTCCACCATTTACCTTATATCGGACGAAAATATATATGGGAGCTATATTTAAATCTGAACCGATTTTCACGAAACTTAGCACATATCATTCTAGGCTCAATTAAGTACGCTGTGCCAAATTTCATACATGAAATCGGACGAAACTATATATGGGAGCTATATCCATATCTGAACCGATTTCAAAACTTGTCACACATTAAACCATACTTTATTCAGTACGTTGTGCCAAATTTTGTGACAATCGGCCTAACTTTGGGTCTTTGGTACACCAATTACTTAAAATCGGACAAAACTATATATTAGAGCTTTATATAAATCTGAACCTTTTTTTACGAAACTTTCCACACTTTAGACTACTCTAACGTCAGAACGTTGTGCACAATTTTATTCCTATCGATCACTTACTTAACATCGGACGAAACTATATGTGGGAGCTATATCCAAATCTGAGCCGATTTTTATAAAACTTGGCAAAATTTCGAACAAATCGGCTTAAATTTAAATATATATGGGACCTATACCTAAATCTGAACCGATATTCTTTGTTTACAATTTAATACGGGCATGCCTAAATGGACTCATTATTATATAGCTCATCTATATAATACATAATAAGACACGGTGCTCCCGAGCATTCTATTTGAGTCATTTTAAGTCACCCCTCTATACACTATACAAAAAATTATTGGGACAGATTGTCCGGACTTTTCTTCGTTGAGTGTTTGTGAGGCACTCCTCTGTACACAAAATTATTGAGACACGGTTCTCCCGACCGTTCTTCATGAGTGGTTGTAAGGTATTGATTTTATTGTAAATTATTTATCCTTAGCTACTACACAAACTACTCTTCAGAAAACTATTTGTTCTAATAATAGAATTTGACCTGTGGAGAGCTTTCCCATCGTGCGCGTCATAAAATCTCAACACTAGCAACAACAGTCTTATCAGCGTTGCATGTGGGATTTTAGACTCTTATCCTACAACACTCCAATGATCAAATCTTCTGTAATACAAAATTCTGTTCAAAGTATTTTGAATAGTGATTCTATGCCTATTCTCAGAAGGAAGCATGGGTATAACTCGTTTGCTATTGCCTGTTACAAACATATGCACAAAGACATAATACCCTGTACCACTCGGTGGTAAATGGTATAAAAAGAAGTTAAGTTCGGCCGGGCCGAACTTTTTATACTCTCCACCATGAATTGGACTTTTAAAATACATGGAATCCTGTATTTGTAAGATGGTTTTACACCCAAATGAGGAGCCAATTAGAACCATTTCTTTATGTCCATTATCCATAATAGGGGCACCGAAAATGGCTCAATATTGATAACACCAAATGATTTAGAGACTTTGCAGTGATAATAACTATTTTTCAAAAAATTTTATTTATATAATACACACCTCCAATTTAATTTGTATGCTAATTACAATTAAAATGATACGCTAAATTAGTGCTCGTCTAACTGACATCGTCCAACATCCAAACGTGTGACTATCCTGATTAACAAATTTTTAATTGCCTTCTTAAATGACAATTAATTTAATATTAATTATATTGCTGTTTTTTTTTTCTTTTCTACTTCTTATAGTTAATTTTACTATTAAAGGCACTGGACATCTATCAGACGACAACCAAGTTGACGGTGATATTGCAAATCATCGCTCAAACTTTGGCCTACACCAGTTCCTGTATCAATCCTGTGCTCTATGCCTTTTTGTCGGATAATTTTCGCAAAGCCTTTCACAAGGTAAGTAGAACAAAAACAACAACGCTGAGTGAAATGATGGAATGCAAAATCCCAACATTCCCTGCTCCATTGAAGATGTTTATTTCAAAAGGCTGCGTCGAAGAAATCGCCCGGTTAGGCCAAGGCAAATTTCAATGGTCTCCTAGAAATCCGTTGTTGGTTCATTAAACTTGCATGGCAAATTATGACGACCCGGTGCCGGTGTTCAATGAATCGCTTGTAATTGTTATTGTTTATCGTTTAGTCGCAACCAGTCAAGTAAAGAAAAGAAACAGCAGCATTTCTTTTAATGCCAAAGTATTTATAAATATTTGCTCGTTGAATGTTCGTGGGCTGGCTGGTTGGCTGACTGGGTTATTCTCACTTCATGACACAGACACAAAAAAGCCAATTAAGTGTTAAAAGACGTTTAACAAGTTTTTATATTCGATCGGCCGTTTATTTATTCTTTAGCTCAGGAAAGTACTTTACTCTTTCTGTTCTTGTAAAACATGGGTATCTTCATCGTATAATTGCATTAGTGGGTGGCTGTGGGTTGGGGTGGTGTTATCGACTGACTGGCTGTTCGAAATTCAATCGTTTATCTTTTGTGTATGGATATGTAAATATTTATGAATAATAATTAATATATTTTCTTGAAGAAGATTTCATTACAAAAATAATACCACACAAAGCAAAGCAACAACAAAATATAAAACGTTGCATTTTTTGTGTTCTCTTTATTGGTTCTTTGCTTAGCTGTCTAGGTTTTTCATTGTATGTGTGTATGTCTGTGCGTATCTCAATGAAAAATTCGCAAAGGGGTGGAGTGCCATTTTCTGTGTGAAACGTTGTGCATCAAGAGTATCCATTTCATAATCCTATTTGCCAATAATCATTTTCTATTGCACTTAAGTGCCAATTTGCACTTCAAACATAAAAGGTCAATCAGTTATTATTATTATTTATTTCAGTCTCAAATATCGTTATTAATCTTTGTTATTTAACGCCCAATTGAAAATTGAAATATATTTTTGGTGTTGTGTGTAAAACGTAATATGATAAATATCATAAATTCTACAGTCGATGATATGACAATTATAATAAAATTGTTTAAAATGCCACACGTTTTTTGTTGGGAAGAGATAAGAGGTGTTAATGTTTAATTTTTTGAATTTTTAAATATTAGCATACATGGTAGAACTAGGAAGGTAAACTCGTGTAAAAATAAATTTCATATTTTTTATACCCTACACAACTATGTTGTCAGGGTATTATAGCTTTGTGCAGCCCCAAGAATTTGTAACGCCGCGAAATATTGGTCTTAGACCCACCTTTAAGTATATCGATCGTCATATCTCGACCAGATTAGTCGATCTAGACATGTTTGTCCATTATAATTTGTAAATCAATGCAGGTCACAATTTTGGACCAAACATCGCGAAATTGTACATGTAGGACGGGTTCTGACCTAAGAAGAACCCCATTGGTTTTGATGGAGATTTGTTATTATTTAAGGGATGAAATGGAGTCCACAATTATTACCTGAACACCACCAAAATTTACGTGGAGAAGGGGATCAGGCCAAAGAATAAACATGACGTGACAAGAAGATCGGTCAATATTTAATGGGTTAAATGGACCTGCACTTGTTTGTGAAGAATTTTAAAATTTGCATTATATGGCCTATATATTTACTCCTAGAAGACATAGACTCAGAATTTGATATTATATCCAGGAGGAATTGTTGGCCTATATGAAATTTTAAAGGAAGTTCACGTTAATGTCAAGGACACCTAAAAATTTCGGTGATGATCACATTATATTTAGGGAAAGGAATGGACCTATAGCGTTATTATTGTATGACCTCTAGAGGTCTCTATTGTAAGCTGAACAAATTTTACACGGATAAGGTATTTGACCAACTTTTTAGAATGACTGTTTTAATGCTCAATATTTGGAGGGTCAACTGAACCAAGATTTTGTAATGTGTAAAATAACCAAATTTGATTCGTAATGCGCAAATGTTTAATCCAATAAAATTATCTGGAAAATATGCAAGAGTAAGAAAGAGAAGCTGTTGACCTCTAATCGATTAAGAGGATGCAAATATCACGAAATATGACCCAGACTCGGAATATAGATCTGCAGAAAATTATAATTCGGTGGTAGTTGTGCAGAGTATCATATGTTCGGAACGTCCGACTGCTGCTCCGCTCACTGGTTTTCAATTATAATGATGAAGCCATAATCTGAAGCAAACTGGGAAGGGGACGATCATATAATACCCTTCAATTTTGAAGTCATAAACAAAACTTGGTAAAACTTTGCGATATTAGAGCGTGCAATAATCATAACATTAGCCAATATCGGAATATGTTGACCCCTGTAAATATTTAAGCATTATCCCCACATCAATTTAACTGGTAACAAGTTAAATATCAACCTCTACACTGGTCGTCATTTTTACGATCCTTTGCGTCACTTCCACCACATAAAGATCCCATCCCTATTTTAGTTATTTCAATGATCATAGGTCATTTTCATCAAGAGAACTGACTTTTATTTTGGCATTTTGTAGTATTGGCAAATAAAAATGTATAGGTCTATGTTTTAAAATAGCCAACATATAATGGTCATGTCCCATTTTAAGTATTTTGATGGTGCTAGGTGAATTTTACAATCGAAATTTCAGTTATTTAATATCCCAGGGTCCTTTTTTGAACTTATCTGCAGAATATTTTCCATTAAGGTTCATAATTTGACAAAACCCTAATAAAATTACCTGCCATTTTTAAATTTTAATATTTTTAAGGATATACCCATTCGTATTGGCCTGAATTTGGTATTCCGAATTCTTTAAGGAAAAAATTCCTAACAGAAAATTATCAATATAGATCAAATGAGTTCAGACATATTACCCATGTAAAGGTATTTTAAACGCCGGAAGTCCGAATTTTTCAACCTGAGTATTGCAAGTTTGTATCTGACAGATGATTTTTCAGCGGATTAAAACCTCCTACTATACTTGTACAATGACATAAAAAAGTCCCGATCGATTTTCCGTATTAGAATAATTAATACTACAGAGTTTTAATGATTCATATGAAATAGTCCGTCAGATACTAATAAATATTGTAAAATTAAGTATACTTCAAAAATATTTTCGAGAAATCTGCTTTGAACTCTTATCGATTTTAATCAATGTATATATATAAATACGCCGTATATTTTTATTTTCTTTTGATTTAATAGCTAATTTGTACGTCAAAAAAAACAAATTTGCAAATCTGCGCCAGATGAATTTCATCTCCCCCACTCATCTCCACCAAGGTATATTCGATTGGCCAAAAAATCCAATCATTTGTTTATGGTGCTGAAAGGTGAAATAATTTAGAGCCACTATAAAAGTGTGAAAAACATGTGAATGCCATTGTTTTGATAATCCCAAATACATTCTTAATATTTAATGTGTGAAATGATGAACAAGATGCTACACGATGGGTGGTATTGTTTTTATATTTGTTGGCATTTCTTATGTATATATAAGACTCAGTCGTTTAATTTTATTATATTTGTTTTTATGTTTATGCTTAAGAAGCCAGTGATGTGAATAATTTTTAAAACTGTAATTTTACAAAACAAAAAAAAAACATGTTTTATTGAAAAAATACTACATAGTTTAATCCGCAGAAGTGATTATTTTAAAGTAAAAATAGTGTGTCTAATTCAGAAACTTAGGAAGTTCTGGTGTATGGCATCAGGATTAGACTAACAGCAATCACAATAATTATGATCAATTCCCGTAATGTATAGATGTAGATCAATGCATAGATCCAAGGACTCAAAGAAGCTTAATTCCTCTTGCATTATTTTTAAAGGGGCTGTCCTGTTGACTATTTCCGTTTATATATTCCTATTTCCATTTCTCCTAATACATATTTCAATTTAATATCAACACTGATTGCATGTATATATTTCAGAATTTATTAATTGTTCATCACCCTATAAATCGTTGGACGCACACACACTCATACATATACACGCATATGTGACATGATTAAAAACCAATTTCATGCACAAACAACAAAAACCCAAATCGAATTTTTACGATCCCATCGAAACGAACAGCAAATGCAAACAAAATTGTTTCAAACATCAAATTAAAACATTAAAAACAAAATTGTTTCAACGTTTTTGGGGATTTTCCAAAAGAATTTCACACGCAGCGGCAACGTCAATGACTGGCACTGCCGGCGAAATGGTGATTTTTTTAAGAGAATTTCAACTCATAAAATTTAATATTGCAATTTTCATATTGAGAATGAAAATTGACTATCGCAAAAATTTGATTTGTTTTCGGTTTTTGTTGTTGTTGTTGTTTTTATTCATTTTTTTTATATTAGAAAGAAAATCAATAACAAATCAACACATTTTCCAGCTCATCCATATGCATGGACAACAAAAACAGCAAAAAAAAAATGAAGAAGCAGACTGCAAACAGACTTCGTAGAATTTGTTTTTAAAAAAGTGTCTTTATTTAATAGAAAAATTCATATGTATGCTGTATGTTTTTTGTTTATTTACGTATAATTTAATTACAAATTGGATAATTAATTCTTAAGAAAACTAATTTATTGAAAAATGTTAATGTGTCGAAATAAAAAATAATAGACTTTGTTGTGACTTTTTATCGCATACATAACATATTTAAAACAAAAATTGAGGAAAAATTAAGCAACATATAACAATTTAATGGCTTGTCAAAAAGAAAACTTGACATATTACAAACCATTAAATTAAAATAATAGTAAACCAGTAAGAAAAGTAGCAAAGTCGGACGGGGCCGTTCTTCCGTCCACTTCCTTGACGTCAGGTTACGCTAACAGTATCACGGTAACGAGCGTTGGTACGAGACACAAAAAATTTATTCACATTTAAATGCTGGAGTGCTCGCTCTAACGATAGCCACTTGCTGTTTTCCAGCCAAATATAAATCACACTATAGCGCTTGAATTCCA